GGAGAAATTCTCTTAGAACCCATTCTCTTTTTGAGACACCGGCATATCGGACCTTATACCATTTACCTCGGCGATCCGACATACATTTCTCTAAGGCTTCGATTTGCCTGTCCTCCATTTCAGGACTAGTCTCAACCTCAGCAGTGGCGTCTTCGTTTGCCGCGCCTGCCGTTTCATGTGCATCAGTATCCCCTTCATCTGATGTCAACTCATCAGCTGAGGAAGAACCTGCCTCCTGTTCTGACACAACAACCTCATTGTCAGGTATCATGTCAGGATCTAGTTCCTCATCGTCAGATAAGTCTAACGGTATTGCCAAAGGGCGAGCGTCGGGACTGATATACGGTTTCAGTCTATTTGCATGAATGGGTGATCTGATCAGTTTGTCATCACCACATCTGCGTAGCTGAAATGTGTGGGATGGATATTTCCATACCACATAAAATGGTCCTTGCCACGACTTGTAGAGTTTCCTACGAAACCCTTTTGGCACTTTAGAACAGTAACGCCAAACCCTGTCGCCCACACGGTATGGCGGTTCAGCTGACTTCTTGTCAAACTGTTGTTTGTATGCTTCCTGAGCAATCTGTACATTCTCGCGTGCAATCTCTCTGGTAGTCTCGATATCACGAAGCAACTGCCTCAAGTCAGTACGTGTTTGTACTGAAAGACCTTGCGTGCGAGGCTCTAGTACATTGTCAATTGGTAACCTAGGTTCCCTGCCAAACACCATGAAATATGGCGAGAAACCCGTCGAACTGACTGCAGGACTCATCCTGTAACCTGCTAGGATACTTGGTAACAGCTTCGGCCAGTTTTCCTGTGCCTTGTCACCATAGATCCGGAGTGTTTGACCAATAACACTGTTCATGCGCTCAGCATGACTGTTTGTCTCCGGATGAAAGGGGCTGGTCTTCAGTCTACCTATATCCAATAATCTGCATACTTGACCAGAGGAAGTGACGTCATGGATCCTCACATTACTTGCTAAGACCGGAACATCGGAAAGCATCGTTGGGAGGATCTCATGCGGGTTTTTGAAGCTTGGAGGGTCCAATCCCACTGCCTCGTAGTCCTGGAGGATGATGGCTCGAAGCCAGAGGGCGATGGTGTTGTGGCTGACTTCAGGGAGCCAGGAACATCTGGACTTGGTGCATTTGGAGCCTTCCTCTGTAGGTCAAGTCCTGTACTGAGGTTAGGAGGCCCAGGAGGATTTGCCACTGACACAGCGTGCATGGCTGGTGGAGAGTCGGGACCAAATGTAGTTGTATACGCACCCACCAGTCCCTGGGTACAGAGAGGAGGCTAAGGTCAGTCGGAAAAAGACCGCCAATGAACTGAAGGCGGAATGAGGGTGTCAACTCTGACTTCCTGACGTTGATCTTCCATTCCAGTCATCGGGATGAATGGTGACATGTAGATATGCGTTCTCGAATTCCAGGCTGATGAGCACATTGTGTGTCTGGATCCTGGACCGCAGGAGCCTGAGCGTGGTCATCTTGAAGTAAGGTGCACACCACAGGTAGCATCTGTTGAATGAGGCAAGGTCGTGAATCATCCTGTATTTGTTGGAGTCGTTTTGGGGGACAAGGAAGATGGATGAGTGGGCATGTACAACCTCTACAGCCTCTTTGGGCAGCAGCGATGTGATGTTTTAGTGTAGGAGCTGCTGTTGATTAGGGGGTTAAAGTCCACTATGGGGGACAATGAGAGAGGTGGGATGTCTATAAGTGTCAACTTGTACCCCTGCCTGATGATGTTGGTGATATAGAGGATCAACCAATTTTTCCAGAATCGACCCAGTCTCCCACCTGCTGGAGTGTCCACAGAGAATATTGGGAGGCAACCGATCCACTATCGGTTGTAGAGAGTGCATCTATATAGGCATCTGTAGAGGCGCACTTCGGAGAGCCGCAAGGAAAGGTGCATTCAGAGATGCTGTCTGGTGGATGGATGCCATCTGTATAGGCGCTTGAATAGACTCTGGTATAGGCGCAGTGGGCAGCGCTTGTAAGGGCGTCTGTATAGCACAGGGCACATGGCTGATGCTGATGGGCGTCAGGGTCTGTTGCAGGGCCTACAAGTACTGTATGTACTGTAGGAAAGAAGCGTACATCATAGGAGAGAACCTCTCTGTTCAGCTGTGAGTTTCCGAATTCCTGCACCACTCCCGGGCAACTCATAAAATACTCTCGATGATAATTTTATCTCCCCCTACCGAAATAATGTTTCAAGTCATACCGAAATGACTCATACACTCATTTCAACAGAAGCTAGTTTCCAATCTCCAAATGGCAGATTCAGTTTGTGCTATCAAACTCCTCTTGTCTAAAATAACTCGGCTAACTTTCTTAATTCATCAGTCAATCGAACATAGTTCATGAACCTAGGATGAAAGCCAGATACTATGTCAAAAATGGTATTACCAATTTACCAAGAGATCCTTAATCAGATTCCAATTGTCTTGCCCCCTACGAGGCAATATTTTACGGACGCTTCACTTTCTATCTAAGTCAATAAGAGTTATCTTTTCTTACCTTTTTTTTCAAATTTCCGGAAAAAGCACATGTTTCAAATCAGTGGTTTCTACACCTACTCAAAGGTCTTATCACCATTACTCAAGTGCTGACATGTACAGGTTTTTTACCCCTTTTGTACTACGGGTTTATGATGATTAAAGAAACAATACAAGCATCTTTTCGAAGTCGTTATAGTAAAAAACCTTCATCGCCACTCTCGTATATGAGGCACAGCGCTCCGATGACCACAAGACATACGATCCATTGATACATTATTCTTCCAAGAATTGTGCGTGAGTATTACACTATGGAATCACGTAAAGGATCTAGACGTTTAACGGAGCTAGGTTACGAACTATATCAAGAAAACGTGCAAAATTATGTCAACAAACTTTCCAAACTAGCAAGGCAAACAGAGAGTGCCTGTTCACACTCGACACATGATGATTTGGGACAGTTAACCAGTGTGCGTGCAAATATTGACTGTCAATACGGGAAGTATGAGGAAACATATTTGGAATTCTTTGCATATTTACAACGAACTGGCACTGAAGAAAGTTCACAAGTACAGGCTGCACATCAAAACATTGCAGATTCACTCTTGAATAAGGTGCAGATGGCACTGAAGGACATTAATGCTAGAATTACTAGTTTGACAAACACTGACAGGATAGAATCAGCTTCTGTGCGAAGCAAAAGCCTTCATTCAAGTGGAAGTTCTATTCTCATGAGACAAAAAGCAAAGGCTGAAGCGGCCAAGATTCGACTGAAATTCGCTGAACAGGAAGCAAAGTTCACAAGTACAGGCTGCACATCAAAACATTGCAGATTCACTCTTGAATAAGGTGCAGATGGCACTGAAGGACATTAATGCTAGAATTACTAGTTTGACAAACACTGACAGGATAGAATCAGCTTCTGTGCGAAGCAAAAGCCTTCATTCAAGTGGAAGTTCTATTCTCATGAGACAAAAAGCAAAGGCTGAAGCGGCCAAGATTCGACTGAAATTCGCTGAACAGGAAGCAAAGATGGAGAAACAGCGAGCTGAACTGGAAGTGAACCTGAAACTTCTTACTTCACAGCGTGAAGTACATGAAGCTGAGGCAGAATTACAAGCTATGCAGGGAGTTTTGGAGGTTGACAAGAAATCAAGGCGAGACGACCGTTCTTCCCAGACATCGGCGAAGCTCGAAGAAATTCAGAAATTTGTGGAAAACCAACAAACCTTTTATGAGTTTGAAACTAGGATACTTGACCAGGTTGAAACTGTGTCCAAGAACCAAGACATACCCGTAAGTACGAGTACACCTCACAAAGCCGGGCAGAGTAATCGCAACACAGTTCATGACCTCAAGTCCTTCCATAACCATGGTGACGACTCCCATACTCAACCAAGGCAAGTACATGCACCAGAGGCCTCGACAATTCAACGTGGTACTGTTCCACCAAATAGTGTGCTCAACCCTGCAGCTGAACCTTATGTCCCAGACATGACAGCTCCCCCTGCATCGGGACATGTGACAAACCAACTGGGTTTGTGTTCAGAACTCTCCAAATATTTAATGAGGAAAGACCTCCTCCTCTCTCGGCTGAGTTAATTCAACGATAAGCCAGAGTATTTTGCTGTGTGGCAGAATAGCTTTACACAAATTATGTACGAACTAAATGTGTCTCCGCAGGAGGAAATCGACTTGTTGGTCAGGTGGCTTGGCCCGGAGTCCAGCAGACAAGCTGCTAGTATCCGTGCTGCTAATGCTCATAATTCGCTTCGTGGCCTTCAGAAGATCTGGGAACGACTGGGAGACAGATATGCCAGTCCCGAGCTTGTGGAGTCTGCACTCAAGAAAAAATTGTCTAATTTCCCTAAACTTTCCAACAAAGATCATGATAAACTCTATGACCTGGCAGACATTGTGTCCGAAATTGAGTCTGTGAAGGACAATCAGAGGTACTCAGCCCTTCTGGCATACTATGACTCTTCAGCGGGCGTGACTCCGATTTGTGAACAGGCTTCCCTACGCTCTTCAAGAGAAATGGACAAATGAAGCAGTCAACTACAAGGAACGGTATCATGTTGCTTATCCTCCCTTTTCTGTGTTCTCAGAATTCATAAGCAGACAGGCTAGAATACGAAATGATCCAAGCTTTCTTTATGACTCACAGTCAGCGCCAAATTCCACAAAGAAATTTCATCCCTTGAATATCAACCCAAACTTCAAACTGTTGTCAAAGAAAACTGACATCGGGGAGAAAGACAATGTTACGGAACGAGTTAGACTCTGTCCCTACCACGATAAATCGGAGGGACATACTCTTAATTATTGTAAGGGGTTCCGACGTCTGTCTCTGAGTGAGAGAAAGGACTTTCTTGGTAAGCATAGAATATGCTTCAAGTGTTGTGAATCTACTCAGCACACTGCGCGTGAATGCAAGTGTAGCATTCAGTGTTTCTTTTGTGGGAGTGTTCATCATGCTACCGCCATGCACAGTTACAATGAGGGAGAAACCTCCGCTAAAGTTGCAGACAGCAGGACTTCGCTGAGGAAGCATGAAGGGGAGAGAAACGTTACTGCTCTGTCGGCGTCACATCATGAAGAGAAGCCAATAACGATGTCAGCTTGCACACAGATATGTGATAATTTGGTTGGCGGCAAGTCATGTGCCAAGACTCTGCTAGTCAAGGTATTTCCAAAAGGATGTCCAGAACAGTACTTATTCTCATATGCTGTTATCGATGATCAGAGCAACCGGTCACTTGCGAAAAGTGAGTTCTTTGATAATTTTCATGAAGATGGAGATGAAGTTGAATACACACTTTCATCTTGTGCTGGTTGTGTGACAATGTCTGGCCGACGAGCATCAGGATATGTCATTCAAGCCTTAGACGGGTCCTCGTCATTACATTTACCTACCTTGATAGAGTGTAATGAGATTCCAAATGTGCGAGAGGAGATCCCTACTCCAGAAACAGCTATTCATCATCCTCACTTAAGGGACATTGCTGAGTACATCCCACCTATTGATTCAGGTGCAGACATTCTGTTGCTCATAGGACGTGACCTGCTTTCAGCTCATCATGTACTTGATCAGCGCATTGGACTGCCTGATGCACCGTATGCCCAGAAGTTGCACCTTGGCTGGGCAATAATTGGGGAAGTCTGTCTCGGGCAGGTACACAAACCGGATGTGGTAATAGTTAACAAGACTCACATGCTCAGGGATGGTCGAACGACAATCATGGAGCCCTGTCCTAATAATTTTGAAGTCAAAGAGAGAAATGACTTTGGGGAGAGTGTCTTTCAGAAAACAAGACTTGACGAAACGCAGACTTTGTCTATTGAAGACAAGCAATTCCTGAGGATTATGGATGCCGAATTCTCAAAGGATAGTGATGGCTGTTGGACTGCTCCACTACCATTTCGACAAGATCGTGCCAGGCTGCCATGCAACAAATTCCATGCCATTCATCGAGCAAAACTATTGGACTCCAGCATGCACAAAGATCCAACAAAGCGAGACAAGGGACATGCAGAAATAGCCCCTCCATTGGAAAAGGATCAAGAGTGTTGGTACTTGCCCTTGTTTGGTGTTTACAATGTCAAGAAACCGGGACAAATCAGGGGTGTATTTGATTCATCTGCGAAGTACAATGGCGTCTCTCTGAACAGTGTCCTAATGACTGGTCCTGACCTCACAAACAATCTGTTGGGAATCCTTCTCAGGTTCCGAACAGAATCCTTTGCAGTGACGGCAGATGTGGAGCAAATGTTTTACTGCTTCAAGGTGAAGCCATCTCATCGTGACTACCTCAGATTCTTCTGGTACAAAAATAATGATCCAAGCCAAGACTTGATTGAGTACAGAATGACTGCTCATGTGTTTGGGAATTCACCCTCTCCTGCAGTCGCTACCTATGGTCTCAGACGATCAGTGGAAAATGCTGACGTTGATGTGAAACGGTTCGTGGAGAATGACTTTTATGTTGATGACGGACTGCTGTCCGTCCCCACAGAGGAAAAAGCCATCGATCTGATTCAGAGAACCCAGAGTGCGCTCCAACATGGGGGTAACATAAGACTACACAAGATAGCCTCCAACAGTCGAACTGTGCTAGCTGCGTTTGATGCGGAGGACCTCGCCAAGGACATCAAGGACTTGGACTTCAACACGAACACTCCTCCGCCTCAAAGAAGCCTTGGCCTATCCTGGGATATTGACAAAGACACTTTCACCTTCCAAGTCTGTGCCAAGAGGAAGCCCTTCACCAGGCGTGGGGTATTGTCTACCATAAACAGCCTCTACGACCCTGTGGGCTTTGCAGCACCAGTTGTCATCAAAGGAAAACTGTTGCTTAGGGAACTAATGTCAACAACCTCTGGTTGGGATGACCCCCTTCCCTCTTCTTACTTATCTCAGTGGCAGAACTGGTGTGACACCCTCAAGAATCTTGAAAATGTTGTCATCCCAAGACCTTATTCAAAAATCTCAATGTCTGATTCCCTTGCCAAAGAGATTCATATATTCTCTGATGCTTCGAAGGAAGCAATAGGTGCTGTTGCTTACCTCAAGATGTACGACGTCAATGGCACCAGTACACTGAGTTTCTTGCTGGGCAAGTCCAGAGTAGCCCCACGTCATGGACATACCATACCTCGGTTAGAGTTGTGTGCTGCTGTTCTATCTGCAGAGATGGCAGAGGTCCTACTCCAGCAGCTTGACATTCAGGCAGAATGCCTGCATTTTTTCACAGACAGCCGCGTCGTATTGGGTTATATATGCAATGAGAAACGAAGATTCCATGTGTATGTCGCAAACAGGATTGACAGAATTCGCCAATCTTCACAACCAAAACAGTGGAACTATGTGCCATCAAACATAAATCCAGCTGATCAAGCAACGAGGTCTGTGACATCATTGTGCTACAGTGATTGCCTTTGGTTAAGAGGACCTGATGTCCTGAGCCAAAGTGATACATCTGATATGTGTGACTCACAACTTTTCTCGCTTGTCGACCCAGACAATGATAAAGAGGTTAGAGCTGAACTCAAGTCGACTAAAACCTCAGTCTCTACAGCTGTGCCGCAACAACTGGGCACTGATCGCTTTACGAGATTTTCTAGTTGGAAAAGACTTGTAAAGACAATCTCACATCTGAAACACATCGCAAGATCCTTCACCAAAACTAACAGTTCATGTGTTGGTTGGCACCAGTGTAAAGACTTCAGAAATGTAGAAGGATTTAAGGATGCAGAGGTCTTCATTGTCAAAGCAGTCCAAAGGGAAGCTTACTCTGAGGAGATCATGTGTCTGCAAAACCAGAAGCCACTTCCAAGGAAAAGCTCAATCTTGTCCCTCTCACCTGCTTTAGATGAACAAGGCGTTCTTAGGGTAGGAGGAAGACTGAAGAACAGCAAACTGACAGCTTGTGAGATTCATCCCATTATCATTCCCAAGGGAAACCATGTTGCAAAGCTTCTTGTACACCACTACCATGACAGGGTAAGACATCAAGGAAGACATCTGACGGAAGGTGCTCTGAAATCGGCAGGTTACTGGATTATTGGGGCAAAAAGACTGGTGTCATCTCTAATCAGCAAGTGTGTCACGTGCAATCGGCTCAGACGAAAACCAGAAACTCAAATGATGTCAGATTTGCCTCCAGACCGCTTGGTGCCATGCCCACCATTCACTTATGTTGGTGTTGACGCTTTCGGACCATGGGAAATTGTGACTCGTCGTACAAGAGGTGGTAGTGCAAACAGCAAACGATGGGCGATATTGTTTACCTGCCTAATGATACGTGCAGTACACATTGAACTCGTTGAAGAAATGACAAGCTCCCCATTCATAAACTGTCTCAGAAGGTTTATTGCCTTAAGAGGGGAAGTCAAGCAATTCCGTTCTGATAGGGGAACAAATTTCATTGGTGCTATTGAATCCCTTAATGTCACTGCTGTTAATGTAGAAGATGGGCCTGTGCAAGACTTCCTGTACAACAATGGTGTGGTTTGGTTGTTCAACACCCCTCACTCATCTCACATGGGAGGTGTATGGGAGCGAATGATTGGGACTTCTCGGAGAATACTTGATGCTATGCTCCTGAACACAAAACGGTTGACCCATGAAGTACTCTCTACCCTTATGGCTGAAGTGACGGCAATCATCAATGCTCGACCTATCACATCCATCTCAACTGACCCTGAACAACCGATGATCTTATCACCTGCAATGTTATTGACTCAAAAAACGGCACACACCCCAAATTTTGATCTGTCTCTAGATGTCAAAAATATATGCAAGTCTCAGTGGATGTATGTCCAGACACTTGCAGAAGAGTTTTGGCGAAGATGGAGACTTGACTACTTGCAGAGTCTTCAAACCAGGTCGAAATGGAAGATTTCCCAGCCTAACCTGCAAGAAGGAGATGTTGTTCTTGTGAAAGACAATTGTGCAAGGAATGAGTGGCCTCTTGGTGTTGTGGAAACTGTGTTTCCTGGACAAGATAACCTTGTCCGCAAAGCCGCGATTCGTGTGTACAAGAACGATAAGTGTGTGACTTACAACCGTCCAGTTGTGAACCTTGTTTGCTTGTTTTAATTCCACTTGTGTCTGCGAGATATGTGACATTTACAGCGACATTTCAATTGTGTGTGATTTCCATGCAAAATCAGAAGGGTAGTGTCTTGCCCCCTATGAGGCAATATTTTACGGACGCTTCACTTTCTATCTAAGTCAATAAGAGTTATCTTTTCTTACCTTTTTTTTCAAACTTCCGGAAAAAGCACGTGTTTCAAATCAGTGGTTTCTACACCTACTCAAAGGTCTTATCACCATTACTCAAGTGCTGACATGTACAGGTTTTTTACCCCTTTTGTACTACGGGTTTATGATGATTAAAGAAACAATACAAGCATCTTTTCGAAGTCGTTATACCAATCAAGCAATAATTCATACAATATTTGGTCACTTCAACATTGATTATCTATACCATCTTTTCATTTGCTCTCTTGTACTTGAAAGACCAGATCCTGCTATTTCCTTTTACTAATGAAAAATTGTTCCTAAGAGCAATAGAATCGATAACCTTTTGACCTCTTGGTCGAAGCCTCAGCCAGTACAGTCACCTCTCACATGTCCAATTTGTATTTTAACCTAAAGCCTGATGGAATTCATAAACCTCATTTTAGATTAATATTAAAAACACTTTTTCCCAAAATACCCTGGTTATACATGCCCTTCCTGTTGTAGAGCATGTCCCATGCAATTGACCAACGAATTCTTATGGCAAATACATATATACATACATATAACTTTTAGTAGTACAATATTATGATATCATTATGAAACAACTTTTGTGTCTATGCATCGGAGGACCAGAAAAAACAATGACATTTTACAGGTAATGTCTCAGATAGGATCTGTCTAGGGTTGTACCTATATGTCAAGGCTGTAAAGGCATAATCAAACAATTCTTTCTTTGAATTATTTTTCGTTTTTCGGTAGATGCAGATTGTTAATAAAAACATTTTCTTAACATTTTGATATGTATAGACATATGAGCATTTTTCTTCAGGCTAATAAAATAATCACAATAATTTTTCAACACCAACTAACAACTTGTCATCAATTTAAAACTGTATACAACAGATTACAATTTTCTTTTCATATCAACACAACATCAACTTTGTGTTAAATTTCTGGACATGCATTTTTGTAGAATGTTACCGAATGTTTCATTTGACAGTTATCTTCTATGCAGTCCATCAACAAGTATTGAAGTCATCAAACATGCAACAACATACATATTTCTATCGGTAAAACTGCTCACAAATGTTTTTGTATATGACGTCTGCATCTACCAATACAGTATACATTTCCAATCAATCAATTAAAAAACCTGCAATGCAATGCAATGCACCTTATTCAACATACCTGTAACATATAACAGATCTATGTTCTCTCATGAAATTCAATACAATTTGTTACAAATTGTAAGTACACACATCTTTATACAATATATTCATGCATACAGGTAAGTATAATCAGCATAAAACATACCGTAAAAATAACATTTTGAATACAATATAACATCAACATTAATACAACAGGACACTAGTATGTCTGAGATCACTTAAATTCCTAAAATTGCGACATTTCAATGTTCTCTGGTCTCTGCGGAACCGATGGATAAATTAACTTTACATCCCTAACAGCAGTTGTTGAGTAGCGGTGGTGCAAGGTAGTGGAGCAGAAGGTCTACCCGATTCATGAACAACTATGGCATATTGTACATTCCCATGTATCAGAGAAACACTTGCTATGTATTCCTCATCCATCATTAGTGATAGTATGTATCAAACTCGGCCTGTTAGATCCTCATGACAGAATCATGTCAAATTTTACCAATCGTCTTGTAATAGAGATCGATTGTGAAAAACATGTTTGTTCCTAAACTTCTAAGATATAATGGACTAATGGGAATCGTGGCCAAGGTAACGTGAGTACATTTAGTTCTGATGCCAGTTCTATTTCCGAATAGGTCTTAGAATTTCTCATTCGCTTCTGGATAATGTGCACTGCTGTGGCAAAGATAACCAAAACTCCTGCATAGAACAGAATATTAATATCAAACATTGCTTTGATATTTGCTAGGTTATTATTAGTAAAAATTAGCACACTTAACCTTCTTGACACAATACCCATGTAGATAGTTAAAAATATGAGTCCCAAGAAGCATCAGTCCGAAGAAGCATCCCTTAGTCATATATGAGCTTCCTGAGTCTCTCCTATCTCCAGTTATTCATAAAAATATGATCGGTTGGGTCAGTGTAGATTATCTTGTTTTATTTTGCGAGTTTTACAGCTCTACGAAGACTAATGCTCATCTGTTTATCATCACCCATTATTTTTAAAAAGGTATGGTTAGCCACTTGAAATGCTGGAATATCATATCTAGCAGGTTCATCCGTTAGGAAATTTTCCACTTCTGCTCTGGGATCATCTGCCGAAAAATAGTGTCTCAGTAGCCCTACATTCAGAGTATATTTGAAATTAGTTTTGGTGGTTGCTTCATGACATCCTGTCAGTCTAGGTGGTATTGTCATTCCGTCTCCATCCACTCTACAGTTGCACAACAATGGTATAACGCACAAACTACAACCTTTCATCATCCTGGTCTTATCTGCACAAGAGTAGACAATTTTGGAAATTCTGGATAACAACAGGTCACCAGAATTTAGTTCAAACATGAAATGACCTGCACCATTTGGAACAAGTCAAATTTCACAAACTTCATGAACCAAGTCAATATCATTAAGGAACAGTTCCAAATTGCATGAAGGATTTTGAAATGATCTTTGAGCTGGTAGATTGTGACATTTCATTAGCATATGATTTTGAGTGCAAAGTTCATATTGATCACTTGTGAATTCCAAAAACGTCTCGTCAACTGTAGAAATGGCGATATATGGTATTGTCTCCCCAACCACTGTGGCATCACCAGAAGTGTGATTTAGAGGAATTGGGAATAACTTAACTTGATAAAGTTGTGTTTCCCTATTCTTGGATGTTACTGATAACATCATGGTGACATAAACAATACTGCCCTTTCTCACTTAATGTACCTTGGTGGCTGTGTAATAGTATGGCAAATCCTTATGAACCAGATGGAAATTTGGATATTTATCCTTTAATGTTCTCCTTATTTTTGATAGAGCCCGCCTTAAATGTCGGAAAGGTATCAACCCGGGTGATAGTACATTTTGTAATAACTTATATAATCCTGTGCTCAACCGATTAATCTTTCTTTCAACCATAGTAGCAAAATGTAACTCCTTTGCAACAAGTTGTATCCAATGTGCATACATGGCCTGAAACCATCGTATCTTACCATCCTCTACCTTTATCAGTTCAGTCAATTCATTATGATTCGCAATTATACCTTGCTTCAAACCGTCCATCCTGTCATTAGCCTTAGACATGTACGAACCAAGGTAATCTTGTGACACATTAAAGCTGCTTCTTCAGCTCTCATCCTTTTTGATAAGATATTGATATGTTGTCGTATTATGTTCACGCACTGTCATGGGCGGTACCAAATAAATTGTGTGAGAATTCACCAATAAAAGGTAGCAATGCTCTCTTGGAGCGAGTCTGAGAACCAACAATTTGACCTTGAAGAATAATGTTTCTGATCAAAGTAACCCCTTTTGAAAGTGTCGTCATGTATGCGATAAGTAAAATTCAATATACAGTCTGTAGCTGTTACGGTCAAAATAACATCTCTAAAATAATTTCTATTTATTTTTCCAAATTATTCAAGTTTAAAAATTTTCTTTCATTTTCATTCCAAATTAACATGTAAAAGATAATGAGTTTAGCCAAGGAAGGTTACTCTGTTTAGACTTCATGCCATGCATATGTTTTAGTTTCTGCAAGGAGAGACTGAGGACCTATGTTGTCAGTAATAAAAAAGAAAGAAGTAAAAGTTAGAAAAGAATATGGGTCTATCAAAATGGTATGTTGTCATGCATTTGTATTTCTATGCCATTGTCAATATATTTCGACAGCAATTTTATTTCCCAGAATGTTGTATTTGTAACTTTTCTGCAGATAATGTGTTCAGTTTTCAATCACTAATGTTTACATTCTATTAAATTTGAAGTTGTATTTTCTTCAAGTATTTTCAATTTAAATTACATCATATAACTTTATATTATACATTCTTTCTGTGCAAATGCTCTTGCAATTATTTTGGCACAATTTAATGTCTTTTGTCAACTTTTGTTGTTTTACTAATTGTCATACATTGTTTTGTTTACATATTGAACTGCAAACTTATGATTGTTTACTTTTCCTTTGCAGTCAATCTTCCAATTCAAAAGAGGGTATTTATTGATAATTGATGATGATGAGTTGAGAATGAGAATGGAGATGGAAATGTGAATGGTACTTTTGATCTAGGATGAATTGTCATTTATTGTGATCCTTACAATAGCCCTCATATTCTCATCACAGGACAAGCGATTCGCCTAAAGACTAATATTCCCATACATATCTCTAAGCAGAATCGGATAGTTAGAGATCTTGGGCAATTCAGTAGTGAACGTATGATACCATGTCTGTTCCTACGTTAAGTCGTCCCATATATCTGAAGGTATTACCCCAGAGATAGATATCCGGAATGCATGTCGTCAATGGTACTGAGTTCCACATCATCAGTAGTGTCATCATCACCTTAAGTGCGAAGCCCAAGGGTCCTTTAGAACGTAAATATCCAAGTAATCTCTCATATCTGCATAGGCATGTTACCTCTATGACTTTTCATCATTTCATATCTGCGTAGGCATGTTACCTCTACGTCTTTTTCATCATTTCATATCTGCATAGGCATGTTACCTCTACGACTTTTCATCATTTCATATCTGCGTAGGCATGTTACCTCCACGACTTTTCATCATTTCATATCTGCATAGGCATGTTACCTCTACGGCTTACAATCATTTCATATCTGCGTAGGCATGTTACCTCTTCGGCTTACCATCATTTTATATCTGCGTAGGCATGTTACCTCTACGACTTTTCATCATTTCATATCTGCGTAGGCATGTTAACTCTACGACTTTTCATCATTTCATATCTGCGTAGGCATGTTACCTCTACGATTTTCATCATTTCATATCTGCATAGGCATGTTATCTCTACAACTTTTCATCATTTCATATCTGCGTAGGAATGTTACCTCTACGGCTTTCATTATCATCCTCGATTCTCTATCTGGGTACATATTAGCTTTGACACATGACACTATAACTTGGGACTAAAACCAACTTGTTATTATAACCTTGGATCTACATATCCTCAATATATCATATACCTATATGGTTGTCACTCTTCCTTACTGGCAGTTCCATTGTTTACTTTATTATTTGTTTGTTGATGTTTTTCTTTCTTCGCTTTCCCTGCCATTGTTCTTTTGACATGGAAATCCTCCACAATTTCTGAAGGGAGAAACTCAATTAGGACCCCTTCTTTTTTCGAGACACCTGCGTATCGGACCTTGTACCACATTCCTCTACGACTTATCAACTTCTATTTCATATTTGGGTATCCATATTCCTGTCACCTAATAGGCATGGTATGGCGTCACTGTCTCCTAACTCTCCATACACGTTGGCACTATCAACTTCTTCAATCACACCTATCGCTACTATCGCAGGTAATATAATCGCTGAGCTGGTAGGGTTCATCGATCTAAACAATGCTATTTGACTGACAGGTGAAGTGAGATGTTTAGAACCTCACACATGTAACCATTCTGCAATAGACTCAGTTGGCTCGACAACACCTAACTTCATATCTGGGACATTAACGTACACAGGCAACAAAGTTTCGGCGTGTGGTGGTGGTACCACATCACATATACATGTAACAAAGTTGGAATTATCTGAATAGGCAATGAACTTTGTCTCTGTAAGTCCATCCCACAAAGTCAACCTATTATGGCTAATATCAATGTAAGCCTTCTGGCTTCTCAAGAAATCTAATCCTAACAACACATCAATTGATAAATGTAAAAGACCTGAAAGTCCTGTACAACACATAGCTGACCAACTGTAAGAGGAATTGTAGATATGCCAAACACATCTAACAGTTTCCCATCTGCACCGACCTTGCACCTCATTTTGTTATAGGAAATCTAATCTCACTTCCAATAGATGAGAATACACATCATTGTCACTCATGTCCCTGATATCAACATGTGTTGATGCACAACCACTTCTGTGATATTGATGGAATGTTTGTGCCCCGTTCTTCACTGGGTGTTGGTCATCAGTACACTCAGTCGCAGTTTTAATGAACTGCTTTCTGTACATAGAGTCATCCTGATGCTCGTATGAAATGTTCCTTCTTGTTTGAGTATTTTCCGCACTGGTCAATAAGGATACTTGTCCAACTAGCTCCTCTATAACAGACACAAGTCTGTCATTCTCTGATGTGGCCAGTCCAAATGCAGCATCTGCTATTCTTGCACTTTCTAGGACTTGATCCTTGGTCTCATGTGGCTTAGTCAAGATGAATTGTTTTATTTGAGGCCTAGAGTTCCTGATCACAGCGTCCTTAACAAAATCGTCATCTAAACATTCAAGGCTCCTTTCCTCATGCTCGAGGTCTTGCAGGAAGTCCTCAAAGTTCTCACAATCCTTCTGTTTTCTAAGATATAACTTATCCAATCTATCATAAATCGTAACAGAATTTTACTTGTTCCTATCTAGGAAAGCAGATTTCACCTCTTCCCAAAAATATGTCTCAAAATCCATTGCCTCAAACCATTTAAATGCCTTTCCCACTAACCAAAGACTAAAGGCCTCTTTCTTCCCTTCCTCTGAATAATTATTCAGGGATGTGAATTTTTCATACTTCTTCAACCAAGCATAGGCACTTAAAGAGTCGCTACCATCAAACTTCTCAAGATTGATGTGGCTCTGTGCAAAGGAATTAGCCAATGCACAAACACTCCTGTCTAACCCCTTTGGACGGTCATCCCGATCAGTAGAAAAGAAACTAGACCTTCCCTCTTTCTTTATTATAGATGCTAGAGCCACACCGGAAGGTCAAGGGGGTTGCCGCTGGCAAGAGCTCGGAGGACAACAAACCAGTACCTCACCGGCTACCAGGGCACGACCAAAAACAGTGGTCGAGGTGCCTGGACATTTGAAGAACCCTGGGAAGGAGAGCCAGAGGCGGAAAAGCGTACATGGATAAACCTCCCCTGGGAACGCTGAGGGCCTTGACTGCCATAGCACGCTGTCGAAATCAGGCATGGTGAAAAAGTGGCCCACCGTAGTCAAGCTATCGTTGAAAGATTTAACTGGACATAAGCGGAACGTTTGTTTGGCTATCAGTATGGGATTGAAATGAAATCGGAACAATTGAGATCAACCGAATGGGTGACACGATTATCAGCTGTTGTATGAGCACTGATTATTGAAGTAACAAGATAAATCGGGAAGAACAATCCAATGCGATTAAAATGAAATCTGTGACTTCCGAATCTTCAGTACCGAGGAGAGGCAAAGAAAAAAAACTTCCTGATAGAGTAAGTGTAAGATATTTATACCAGCCCGGTGAACTTGAAGGAGGCCTACGTCACGCAACCGATCCGATTTGGTCTCTTAAGATATATAACATTAGTCGATTGGTTATTAAAGAAGGAGAGCCTATTCTTTATTATCTTAAAGATGGACCGGGCAGGGCATTTTTACGAGAAGAGTTGCTCATAGTTCCCAACAATACAGTATTACTACCATAACCATAAGCATAGGTAGTTGCACCATCATTATCAATCCATCTCTTTGTATCTAAGGGGGATAATGATGTCTTGTTCATTCTTAATCTATATATCCTATGATTGTAACTTCTTAAAGAGTTCATCGCGCATTTGAATGTTCTACCATTGAATAATGCTTCTTTATACTGTTCGTGTTTGATATGTTTTTTTACCACATACTTCATAACACCCTTAGCTTTTCTTATCTCTCTATTATCGGACTTCTTTATAGAATACATCTTAGGTCTTAATCCGACATACTCAGCAATAGGGGTCCCAGCACATTCATCCTTCATCTTACCTAACACCTTTTTATTTACTACGCTGTGCAGTGGATTATCCTTTGCATAATAGCCTGTGTCGTACATACATGTATCTATTTTTTCTGCCATATCTTTATACACATCCTCGGTTTGTATTTCCATCAACAAAGAATCTGTTTCGGTATATAACACTCGCATCTATCACCGTATTGCTTCTTAAGTTCGTTGTAATAAAAGTCATACACAAAGTGTTTGGCAAGTCAAGAATACTCATACCGACGTACACCGGTCTGTTGAATTTTATATTACTCTTCTGCCTATGTAGTGCAGCTAAGTCGTTATCAAATATCTTGCTTCTGTTAAAAGCCAGACTGGTTATAAGTTTCCTGAGTCTTTCTTCCTCATTAGATCTGACCAATTTAACATCAATATGCTTCCTTAGATTCTCCATAGTTTTACCAAATACTGAGTTATTCATGAGCTTATATAGATTCTTTTCGAAATCGCTGCTATCCATCTTTCTTAAATCTGTGTTTAGTCTTATATAGGGTTCCATCCAAGGTCTTTGATCAAACTTTAGAACTCTGTGTATTTTCTTTAGTTTCATACCTAACGATAGATATAACTGGAGATTTCTGTAGTGAACTATATATTTTGTCTTATCCATCAAATTTGGTACGAGTTTTTCTACGTTAGCTAACCTAGTATTACCCATCAAGGAGTGTTGATATTCCGACATCCAATCTTTATTCACCAATAATCTTTCAGGAGCTAGCGGATAACTGTTATGGTCTTTATGTAATGAATTTGGATATTCCAAGTCAACTTCTAGCATGTACCCTTTATCGGAATCTGAGGGGATATCATTCACTTCGATATCATTCACATCGACCCACTCAAAACCACCCGTGAGTAAAGGTTGACTCATAGCCCATCTGTACAAATTGTTGGCGTCGAGATATAATATATGCGTGTCGGGTTTACTCGGATCATATCCTTCCACTAATTTATTATTAGCCTTAGAATACCTTTTCGTTACCATCGATATACCACCTCTTTATCCTTTCTCAATAAACAAGTGCATATCGTAATCGGTGAGTAATTTTAGTTCTACACCGGTCTTCTTCGACAATGCATCCCACGATAGTCCGGGACTTGAATAGTACCATGCCGGGTCCAAAATGTATTGTTTTAAACACGTCTTTCTAAATATCTCGAATATATCGGTGAGTAACAGTACATCGGTTTTTAAGTACAGATTGTGATAATCGCCTGAAAGCTTACAACCTAATTTATCCCACACCGTCAGAGCGTGTTCATTACCAGCATCGGTTATTTTAGATTCTGTTAAGTTACTATAGAATGATTCAAGGGGTGGTAATTTAGTTTCGTCGAATCTAGACCAATCATCCATATATTCGTAAGGATATACACCTTTTCTCAGCAACAAATGCCGTGTTAACCGATCAGTATATTGATTTGTTATTGCAAAGTCATCGGGATTGTTCACATTAGCTAAATTGTCCAGGGAAAATAACAGAAACTATACGGAGTCTATGAATCTAAGACCATTACTTTGCTTTTTTTCTGGCTTTCCCATCATTGTCCTTATAATGTATAGTTTTAGTCAACGAGAATGATATATATTTTTCCATATTGTTAGGAATACACGTTAAGCCGTCATCGGTCTTTGAGATAGCTTGCATAATGAGATGTGAATCATATCCTCTAAGGTTGTGAAACACAACGGGGATAGGTATTGTTTGAGAATTCATTTTTAGTTTCAAGTTACATTCGTTATGCGCGGCTCCCCGATAATTACCCGTGACATGGCAATGATCTCTTACAGAATCCCCATTAAGAGGTTTATTACAAACATGACAACTAGTTGACTTCTTATAGGCCCTCCAATCATCCCTCATCATACACATGGGTTTCTTACACGATAAATTTTCCCTGATTGTTCTCTCTTTGTTTTGTAGATATTCTAGGAACTTTCCCGCTGCATCGGGACCTCTGTAAATCACAGGCGGGTTTGTTTTCCCATCATACCTTACAACTATACATCCAAACCCACAAGGAATATGTTTTTGAGTTTTGTACGTAAAACTACTATCAGTATTGTATTCCGTATTTTCTATAGGTTTGATAAGTGCTTCGAAGTCGGCTTAAATCACGTACGGTACTGGCATTTGATTACAATAATGTTCAAATTTTAATATATTTTTCCCCTCTTTAGGCATATCAATCCTGATAGCAGTCTGTCCAACACCTCTGCAGTCTTCTTTATGCGCTTCTAATAGATCTTGTCTGCTGTACCCATGCAGGCATCTTTCATAGAAATATTTCTTTTCCTTATGTTTTGTTTGATCACATAATAGTCTGCTTAAACTCTTTATCCATGTATAATGATATTTATCATCTTTTTCGATTAGAAATAAATTGATTCTGGGAATATGTTCCGGAGTGGAGCTTATTCGTGTACAACAATTCCTTTAGAAGAATGTCCGAAAACATTTATAGTTAAATTATTTTGCTTTTATTTTTTACATTAACTATAGCTTTTTTCTTCTTAATACAGGGGTAAATCTATATAAGATCACCTTTGAAAGGCATATACATGTAATTTGCTATATCTAAATATAAACTATCTATTTTATCCACACCCCAACCCGAACCTCTTTTAGTCCAGCGTTCTAAAGTTTCTTGTATCCACTGAATTGAAGCATCTAATGATGAGCTTATAGACTCAGATTCGGTTATAACTTCTTGATTGCTCAAGAAATACGGTTCGGTATATTCAGTGCTATCATCTGCGCTACTTTTACTCAATGACATTTTAGCCGTCAGCTGGTATTTTATACTATTTAAATCATCTAATTCCTCGTTAATTTTGCTCGATACGATGGGCATAACATCATTAACATCCATGTTGGAATTAATATCAATCTTCCAACCTCTTAGATATTTACCAACGCCGGTTGTGGGTACAAATTTTAACTCATCAACTGGTTGTTTATTTTTATCAACATCATCGGGTTGATTATTATCAAGTAAATCGATCAATTCAACTTTGCTCATTTGAGAATAACCTCTCAGCCCACTGTTTTTCGCTTGAGCTTTGAGTTCTCTAACAGTCTGGGGTTTGTTGTATTCCAAACCGAGTATATCAATCAATTCAGCTTTTCTCATTCGAGAATATCCATGTAGACCACATTGCTTTGCCAAAGCTTTCAGCTCTCTGACAACATAAGTCATTGTGAATTGTGATATATAAATACATGTGAACTAATCTCTAATTGGTTTGAATTCTACCCAATCTATTTATCTAATTTCAGTAAGCCTTTTTCCTCTCATAAGTAATTTGAAACCGTTTCTTGTCAGCACCGTGTTTCTTACATAAACAGTAACTACTATGACCCCAATCCCAAATACAGAACACGAATAATTAATATGCCCTTTTCTAATTGCAATGGAATGGATTCCACAAAAATCCGACATACAGCTCTTTCCACAAATTTGTGATTGGCCCAAGCGCTTATGAATTTACATCTTGATGTGCCTCTCGCCATTGAGATAAATATACGCTTCTAGTATCATTTGTCTAAATGCATGTCAACAGCCTAGTCCTGCCCAGCCTAACATAAGCAGTCAGACAGTCATCGCTATTTATAGCTGAGTAGTCATCGCTATTTATAGATTAGCCGTCAGGGTTACCAACAGCGGAACAGCCAGTCAGCGCTATTTATAGATTAGCAGTCAGGGTTATTAATAGCTGATAAGACTCAGCCTGACATAGATCATAGTTTATGCGTAGTCATTGTGTAGCTAAAAAATAGCAATGACTGATAACCAAAACATTATAAATACTATCTCGCGGTTTTTCTGAGCCTCTGACGGTGTATAAAACTGACGTATTGTTGGTCTGGGTATTGGGTCAAGTTTCTTTCCATAAACAAGGAAGTATTTGTGCATGGCAGATTCAACATCCTTAAACGTTTGAATTTGATGTCCTTGCTTACGCAGTTCATCATTAATAAAACCTAATCTTAATATTCTGCGCCTGGCCCATTGTGACTTGGCTGCTTCGAGTTGTTCTAATGCTTTATTATGTCTTTTCTGCTCCTCTCCTCTCATACTAGAAAATAAAAAATTACTCCCCGAAAAAGGTA